AGTATTAATTTAATTTAATTTTATTATTATTATTTAATTTGACCAGAGAGAGAAAGAGAGGAGATTGAGAAAGTAAGCTGCCAGGTCCGGGACTTGTACTGTGGTCAGTCATGTGGAAGTCCAGCGCCTTGATTACTGCAACACCTGCCGGTCTCCAGAATGCTTCTTAAAAATAGGATCATATTACTTGTTTGCAGCATTGGAAAAAAAACTTAGAAAAAATTGGAAGCCTAGATAGTTCTAGTCTAGTAATTTAACAATACTTGTGCCAAAATAGAAGCTATAAATAAGGAGTGCTTCAGAAAACTGTTTGGAGGCAAACTAGGTGGCCCAAGATGATAGAAACAGGAGTTTCTCTAGATAGGGCCAGTGTCCTTAACTTCTAGGATCAATAAAGTCTTAGTGAAAACTGCTATAACCAGCACTGTCATTTTCAGTAAGTGGAACTTTTAATAACCTTTCTAGTTTCCTGCCTCTGCCCAGGAGACAAGTGTTAACAAGCCTTTCTCCTGACTTTAAGCTTGCAATAAAGATTCTAGCATAGCATGAGGTTTGTCCAGAGACTTAAACATGCAAGCTTGCATGATATTTAGAGGCTTATTTTGACCCATCTCAGCCTTCCCATTTTCAAAATGAGTTCTCCCTTTTGAGCCATTAATCCTTATGTGCATGTGTATGTGTGTGTGTGCATGGGTGTGTGTGTGTGTGTGCTGTCATTTATTCAAAGGTGTTTCTGCTTAAGGTGATTAACCCAAGCAAAATTAAAATAATGCTGATCAAATTAATTCCATCTAAAGCTTAGTTGTTAACCAAATGCTATGTAAAATCTTGCATATGAATAATCTTAATCCTCTTATTTGATACTTTAAAAGAATTGACTGTTTGATGACATTGACTTTTAGATAAAATTGAAAACCACCGGAGCCCCATTCTTTGCTTACTAGAATTAGACTGTCAAAATATAGGGGGAAAATTTCCTAAGGAGAAAACCTGTTTAGGAGAAGTAGATATCAGACCCCCTGAAATGGTCAGAAAGTAATAAATAATTTTATAAAAATGGAGCTTACTCTTCAGTGCATTTAAAAAATATATTTCTAAAGGAATGATTTATTTAATTTTATTATAATTATAATTTAATTTGCTATAGGGCACATGCACTCACCAGAGAGAGAGAGGGAGAAGGAAAGTGAGAACGCAAGTCACTAGGTCCAGGAATCAAACCGCCATTGGCTATGTCGGAGTCCGTGCTGGCCCCTCAGAACAGTTTTTATTGATTACAAAGTAAAATTATTTCCCATTTTATACCTCCTTTACCAACACATACATCGCCTCTCCCAGTATCATCATCTTGCACCAGAATTGGATATTTGTTATAATTAATAAACCTATATTGATACATCATTATCACCCAAAATCCATAGGTTTGGTTAGGGTTCATTGTTGGATATTGTACATTTTGTGAGATTGAACCAATGTATAATGACATATGTCCATCATTGAGATACCATGTGGAATAGTTTCACTGCCCTAAAAATCCTCTGTGTTTCACTCATTCCTCCCTTACTTTGTTTGTTTGTTTGTTTGTTTGTTTGTTGTTTTGGAGAGGTTTTCGCTATAGGGCGCATGCGCTCGCCAGACGGACAGAGAGAGACATAGAGACAGAAAGCGAGAAATCACCCCCCAGGGGGGATGGTCACGCCACAGTCCCTTCTCCTCCAGTCTCCTCTCGGGATCTTGGGCATGCACACACATGCGCCCGCGTGAGTTTTAAGCCACGGGGTCTGGGACGCAAACTGTGGTCGACTACTTGGGAGTCCAGCGATGTAGCCATTACGCTAACTGCTGGTTCCCCCTCCCTTCCTTTTAACTCCTGGAAATCACTTATCTTTTTCTATCTCCGTAGTTTTACCTTTCTAGAATGGCCTATAATTGGAATCATAGGATTTTAGCCTTTTCATCCTGTCTTCTTTCACTTAGTAATAGTTGTCTGAGATTTCTCCATGTCTTCTCAAGGCTTGATAACTCATTTCTTTTTTAGTTTTGGATAATATTTTGTAGTCTTTTTTTTTTTTTTTTTTAAGAGGTTTTTGCCATAGGGCATGTGTGCTTGCTGGAGAGTGCAAGGAGAGCAGAAACAGTTGAGAGGGAAAGTGAGAAATCACTCCCCAGGGGAGATAGCCATGGCACAATCCCTTCTCCATTCTTCTCCTGGGCTCATGTACACACCTGCACACACACCCATTGTGATTTTTCAAGCCATCAGGTCTGGGACTTGAACTGTAGTTGGCCCTGTGGGAGTCCAGCAATGTAATCTCAAGGCCATTTGCTGGCTCCCGAATGTACCACGGTTTTATCCATTCAGTTATTGAAGGATGTCTTGGTTGCTTCCAAGTGTTGGCAATTATGAGTAGAGCTGCTATAAACATAAATGTGTGGGTTTTTATGTATATGTAAATCTTCAACTCCTTTGGGTAAATTCCAATGAGTACAATGGCTGTATCATATGGTAAGAATATGTTTAGTTTTTTTAAGAAACTGCCAAATTGTTTGTGAAAGTAGCTGTACCATTTTGCATTCTCTCCAGAAATAAGAGTTCCTGTTGTTTTATATCCTCAGCAGCATTTGGCGTTGTGCAGTGTTCTGGATTTTGGGGTGTTGTGGTATCTCCTTGCTTTGGTTTACATTTCCCTGATGACATGATATGTGCTTATTTGCATGCATGTGTATATCTTTGCTGAGGTGTCTGTTCAGGCCTCCAGCCCATTTCTTTCTTTCTCTCTCTCTCTCTCTCTCTCTCTCTCTCTCTTTTTCTCTTTTAAGACAAGGTTTCACTATTTCATGATTCTTCTGCCCTAGTAGCTGGTACTACAGGCACGTGTCACAGTGTGTGGTTTATAGGTTGGGTCAGGAATCTAACCTGGGCGTCCCATAAGGCTTCGGTCTTTGGAGTAGCAATGCCAACCAACTTGCACTACTGGGACTACTTTTGCCTCTTTATTTTTACCTATTTATTTTTTTCCTATAGGGCATGCATGCTCTCCAGAAAGAGACAGAGAGAGAGAGAGAGAGAGAGAAAATGAGATTTCACCCTGCTGGGAGGATGACTATATCACAATCCCTTCCCCTTCATTCCCCTCTCAGGATTTTGGGCATACACGCACTTGTCCCTGGCCTGATTTTCAAGCTTCCAGGTCCAGAACTCGAACCTCAGAGTCAGCCATGTGAGATCCAGCTGCCTTAACCTTCATGCCACCTGCTGGTCCCTACTTTTGCCCATTTTTAAGGCATGTTGTTCATTTTCTTATTATTGAATTTTAAAAAATAATTTGCTTACCTTTATTTATTAATTTACTTATTTTTAAATTTGTCCAGAGAGGGACAGAGCAGTAGAGAAAGAGAGAGAGGGAAAGTGAGAAAGCAAACCACCAGGTCCAGGACTTCAACTGTAGTCAGCCATATGGGAGTCCAGCACCCTTAACTACCACACCACCTGCCAGACCCCTTATCGTTAATTTTTTTTTTTTTTTGGAGA